ACAAGTATCAACACAAGCATGTGTGCCTCTGTATCTATATCTACATCGGTATCTATACCATGCAGACACACGGGTAGACAGACAGACAAACCAACAGACCTACATACGGTTTACATACATACGCACATGCGCACGTTAGGATGGCGAGGCGAGGCCGCAGCAATGCGCGATTCACGCTTTTCGATGTGCCCGATCCTCGCCCTGTCTGTCTGAGCGATCCTGAGCCCTTTCCTCAAGGTTGTCGGAACCCCTCTGAACTGGCTTAGGGTTTATAGAAGTGCAGCTTCTGTTCCTGCTTGCTGTGACTGTGAAGTTGACCGATGAGTTGGCGCATCGGGTTGTTAAAATCGCCACGAAACTTGAGGTCTTTAGGCATGTCGCTGGTCACTGCAACATCAATCCGCAAACCTCATGAGATCCTCCGCAATCACGCTCTTGTACATCTGTCTCAATTTAGGGACCTTAACAATTAGAACAAGGCTTTGGGATAAAACTAGAGCTGAACAAACCCTACAAAGCCCTTGCAGACCACCAGTCGACACCCCTTATAGATACCTCCCCTATACATAGGGAACCCAAATTCTTCCGACCCGTATGTTTCTTAGCTTGCCTGCCGCTCAGGGCCATCTGCAGGCAGGCTTCGGCGATGTGCCACTGCAAACTAAATGTCAAGCAGGGGTTTCCATGTTAAGGGTTTAGGATCGAAACATCTTGTGCCATGTCCTAACTACCAACGAAAAGGGACCACTGAAGGCAGGCTGGTCTTGTAGTTGATGAGAGGTTGCAAACTTGCGGCAACGGCGACATCACGCTGCCGAAGATATGGACCTAAACCGCATTCCTAATCTGGGTCCACGGTCCTCGCTTGCTGCTTGCACGAAGATCTCTCGACCTTCTCAGTGGCTGCGACATAGACCCAGACTAGTGGAATCCTGCTTAGCACCACAACCCCCCATGTCTGGTTCTCTTCAACCCGCCTGACTGAAGGCTTGAGCCAAAAGGTTGAAAGCTGTCAAGTCAGTCAACGGGGGCGGGACACTTCCCGCTTGTGGAGGGAATCGGTGTACCACATGCTCCAGCAGGGGAAAGGGCGAAGTTCTCCCCCCGTGAATCCCAAATCTGGAAATTCCCCCAGCAAGACACTTCTTCAAGAAGCCTAGGGAACAAACAAGCAGTTGAAAAGAGCAGGCCGAATTCTGCACTTGCTATCACGGGGTTTTGCGGGTTCAGGGGTTAGGGGTCTGAAGGCGATAGCTCTAGATTCTGGTTTGACTCTTAAGAGGGTTTAGGGTAGTGGACTTTGGAGCCTGGGCTTTTTGGTAGTTCATGCGAAAGCTGGACTTATGGATCTGACCTTCTGATGTTCGAGGCGCCAGAAGGCCCGCTTTCCACCCCAGCGCAAAGCATCTCACCCTGTAGCTCGCGCGAGTCGAGCCCGATATACACTCACAACACCATCAAAACCCCCAGAATGAAGCCTACCATGTATGAATTACTTCCCAGGAACCTCATATTGCCCTCACCAGAGTCTCAACACAGAACATGCAAGCACCGTACTTTGCAGAAATCCTGCCTATGCTCATGCTTGAAACCTAGTCCCGAAGCCCCGCATATCCTTCAAGTAATCCAGGTTTTGTCGAAAAGCAAAAGCTCTACGTCCTGCGTTCCGGGCCTCAGAGAGCCTCAAAGCTACTTAAAGCTTTAAGGCTTCAGCTCTCCGGGTTCCCATTCTTTACGGGCGTCAAAGGCTTTCCAAAAGGGGTGTATCGTGTGGTGCATGTGGAGCTTAGGGTTTAAGATAGTGTCTGGGGGATGAGTGCTTTGTTTATCTAGGGGTGCATCTTGGATCTGGGTTTAGGGTTGCCCGGGACTTCACGCCGCGAAGGCCTTTTAAGGCCTAAATTCGACGGGAAACTTCCGCATCAGGGCCGCGCCGCGCCGCGCTCCGAAGTACAGCTTGGGAAGTTCGAAAAAAGACCGTGACGGAGGATTTTAGGTTGAGGGTGTTGTGGCTTAGGGTTTAAGATATAGGGTTGAGATTTTAAGGTCTGGGGAAAAACAGGGCGAAGTGGCAAAACGCTTGTGATTTGAGGTTCAGGGCATGATGCTCGAGTAGTATATGGGCCCAACCATTAGAGGCACCTCGGGATTCCGAAAGGATTCTGAAAGACTGCTAGCTCGTGATGCCAACAAGTCGGATCCTGAGCAAACCGATCATAAAACAGCGTTGCAATCCACAGAACGCCTCCGATGTTTGAGGAACTTCCCGTTCGAGTCTTGTGCGGCAGCTGTGCCCCAAGCGCTAGAACCGGAAAACCTAAATTGCACAGAAAGGGGCTCAGGGCTCAGGGCTCGGAGTTTCGAGTCCTTAAGCCCTATAAACCCAAGAACTGTACGTTTTAGGGCTGAGTATAGGGGCCTTAATAGTTAGAATTGTGTTTTGGGGCCCATTAGACTGTAATTATAATAAGCCCCCCCTCCCCAAATAGCATCAAACTTGTGATTATTTAGGCCCCTACATTGGGGGTTTAAGGCCGGTCATGCGGTTTTGACCTCAAAGACCTGGATGCTGTCGATCCTGCCGCGGCAAATGGGGCAAGTGTCTCCTGGCCGTCGCAGGGTGTTAGGAAGTTCTCTGGCCTGCTCTTGGAGGTGTGCAAAAAAAAGAAAAAAGAGGGTTGTTGTGTATTCTGAAGAACAGAATACTCGGAGTCTGTTGTGCTAAAGCAGGGCGTGAGTGTGGGGGTTAGTGTTTCAGGGTTCAGCCAACAAGGGGACGGGGGGTCGAATGTAGGAAGAATGCCCAGATGTGCAGAACAGGGTCGGTGCACGTGTTCTGGGTTTAAGACTTTCTGTTTGGTTTTCCGGCGCTCTTTAGCAAGGCCACGTGAGACTCTGCTGCATGCTTATTGTGAGATGCTTGTAGCTGTAGCGTTGCTGTACAATGCTTCGCAGGGTTTCATGGGGTATTTATGGGAGATGTGGGTCGAGGGCATACTTAGTTCAGAGTGTGGCCCCCTTTGACTATGTTGCTGTGCTCCCTGGCCAAAGAAAAAGAAGCCTTTGAAATGCGGTCGGATAATGAAACTCCGAAGGTGAATGAACTACCCAGCTACTACTTTGAACGAAAATGAGCACAGGTTCGTCAGCCGTCCTTGCACCTGAGCACCGATGGAAAGCTGCTGAGCGCACTCCTCCCCATCTCGGGAGCTTTCAACCGCATAAAAACCGAGTTTCTGAGTTTAGGCTTTAGGATTGCAGGTCTGGGGTTCAAATGAAGCTTTTTCACAGGAATACAGAAGGTGCTGATCCTTCCATGAGCGTTAGTTAGTAGAGCACAACGCAAGCATCGCCATCGATAGAATGATGCTGTCCATTGACGGTGTGCGATAAGTAGGCCTGCATACAGGAGGTTTCAATATCATTGAATACTTTGCACCCCATTGATCCAAGAAAACCTGCAAAACACCATAAAACCAAAGGCTTATAGAAGCTTGCCAAACTCTCTAAAGTTCTGATGCCCCAATGGCCCTATCAAAACCCGCTTGAAAGCTCGTGCAAGTAAAGCACACCTGAACCCACACAAAACCCGAACCCGCTCAAACCGCAAAACCTACTTCCTTCCTAACCCCAAACCTGAAGCCCCTACGGCCGAACCCCTGCTAAAACCCTACACCCGAAATCCGTCAAAGAGAACTAAACCCTCAAACCCTGGAACCTCTAAACCCTAAACCCCTTAGTTCGTCCTGGCAAAGGCAGAGGTGCCGGCAGGGTAGGATGGCGGTGGTGCGTGGGTCTGTGAGGCAGATCACGCCTCGTGCTGTCTTTAGGTTTTAGATTTAAGGCTTCAGGATATGGTTTAGGGTATGGTTTAGGGTCTGGGGTTGTAGGGTTGCTATCAAGGGACACCATAAGGGCTTATAGGAGGAGGTGATTATGAGGGTGGTTTTTGCATTTTGAAACGCATCTTCCTAAGGGCTTAGGGCTTTAAGTGGTTTTGGGCTGTTAAGTTTGGGGTCCAGGTTTAGGGTTTAGGCTTTGGGGGTCGGGTTTAGGTTCAGGATTCAGGGCTGTAGGGTCTAAGGCAGTTTAAAAGGGACTTGCTTAGTTACAGTGCCTAGACGTAGGTTTTGGAGGGTAGCAGAGAAGCCAGCATCATAGTTATCTCCCCAACTAAAGGGGCATAGGAATGAAAAATATGGGCTTGAGAGTCAAGTTTGCGACCTTTACTTAAATGGCCGAACTGAAGGCCAGTACCCGGCCACTTGGGCTGATCGCATATACATTGCCTTTGCACGAGGTGCGCCGTGTCTAGGGCTTCAGGGCTTTGGGGGTAAGGGTTCAGGGTTTCGGACGTGCCGCCAAAACGCCGACAGCTAGTGCCATAATGTAATCGGTTCAACACATTACAGGGCTTCTATGGTATGAGTTCTGATGGACCGCCACTGCAAGAAAACTCGCAACTTCAGCCAGGGCGCAGGGCTCGCCCTGGGAGCTCTCGTCATGCCGGGAGTCGTCCTCCGACTGTTGCTTCTTGATTTGGGAGCTTTGGGGCTTCGGGGCGCTGTTTCAGCTACCCTGGAGAAAGGGGGGCCTTGGGTGAGTACCGCTCAGAATGCTGAAAGCTTCTGGCTTCGGGAATTCGGGGTTTAGGATGGTTTAGCTGTTTATAAGGCTCAGGATTCTAGAGGGTCATGACATAAGACCTTCTACGTAGCCGGATGCCCGCCCTCCAGACCTTGCCCAAGTCGGCGAGGCCGTAGATCTCTTGAAGGAGATACTCCTTCGCAAGGATTCTGTGCTGGGGCGCCAGAGCCTGCTACAGTAATTGCGGGTCGGAGCTCTGTCTATCACAAGAATTGTGGAAATGCAGGCAGATACACAGCGACGCAGCAGGCCGCGACTTTCTGCTATCACGCTTTGAGAGTCGAGATGCCGAATCGGCTAACAAGAAGCACGAGACTACATTGCACGAGAGAGGTTGCAATTCCGGGCTCACATCAGCGCTCGTGGATTTTCCACTGGGGGGCATGCATGTGGCAATAGTAAAAGAGTGCCTGGGCCGGACGGATCTTACCCGATCGTTGGCAGGGGAGGCCTGCCTTAGTGTTCGCATGGCAACCGCCGCCGAAGCGGTGGGGCGTTCGCGCTGGGGTGGTCCTCACTGGGGTCCGGCTGCGTGTAGAAAGCGCCTTCCCCGCCTTTCCAACACTCTTCGTTCGGCTGGGACTCCTCATCTCCCGGGGCAGCTTCGAGCCAGTGGAGGGCACTGGGGACCTTGGTGCGCTGCGTCGGGGCGGCGTGGAGGGCGGGGAGTCGCTGCGCTTGGCTCCGGGCAAGGCGCAAAGCAGGGACCTTGCGTGGGAGCGGGAGCGCGGGGGAGATCGGGTTTGGGAGCGCGTTCGGCGCTTCGGCGTTGCACGCGAAGGGGTCTGGGCCTGGGCCTTCATGGCTTTGGGCTTGCTGGGAGTCTGCCGTGTCACCGAGGCAGAGCGTCCACGACGCAGGATGGGCTTTGGAAGCTGACCCGACCCCGGAGAGTGTTGCGACACCAGCTCAGTGGCGCTCGAGCCTGGAGAGGCTGTTTGGAGGCGTGCCGCTGCCAGGCGGCATGCCATGGCATGAGGCGACCCCTGAGGGCTCAAGCACATCTTCTTGCATTCGCTTGCAAGCTGCTCTGGACGGAGGGTGAGGAGGGAATGGACCATCGCGCCCCCTCGGGCTGCAAGGCAGCTTCGTGAACGCGGTGGCTTTGGGCTGGGCCTGGCAAGGGACTCCGAAGGGACTGGCTTGGATGCATCAGTGCGCCTGGGCAGGGACCTGGCTGGATCCAGGCTTTTGCCACGAATGCGCCGTGCAGGTGTTGTCCAGGCGGCCGGGGCCGGGCTTTTGCTTCGGATTCGATGGCGCGGCGTGGAAAAAGATCTGGCAGGCGCTGGCGAGAGGGGCACGGGCCTGGCCTGCGTAGTCGGCGGCACAGAGAGCCCACGCGCTGGCCGCGAGCTGTTCTCAGACGTCTGCTCCCTCTCCTGCCGCTGCTCTCGAAGCCGGTACAACCTGGGTTTCGATTGAGTTACCATAACAAGGAAACAGATCCCCATTATGGTAACTGTTTTAAGTTCCCTAACCCTTAAAGGAACCCTTCTAGATCTCTATTATATGCTATCCTAAAATGCGTCTTAGTTCCTTAAGAAGAGCCCAGCAACAAGTCGTTGCAACTGCCCGAACTGGGAAGGCCCTGGCGGCTACAGGCGGCCTGGAGCTCACCTAGGTGGGGCTTTCAAAGCCTTTGAAAAATCTATTAGTAAATAAGATCCTCTTAAGCCCAATAAGGGAAAATATAAAGGGCTTTTAAAGCCTTTCAAACATATATATTAGTAAATAAGACCCTGAATTAAGCCCAATAAATAAGGGAAAATGTAAAATCTCCCAAAGCCCCGATCTAGTCACTCTTGTGGAGAGCGTTGAAGGGGGCAAAGGTCGGGCTCGTGGTCCCAGACCGAATCGACTCCTGGGTTCCGTGATAGGGATATAATATATATATATATATATACACATACACATATATTTATTTATTTTCCACACACACATATATATATATACATATATACATATATATATATATATATAGTAAACAAGATGGTTTCCTTATTATGGCAAGAGAAATGCTAACGGATTTTATGCAAGTTACCATAATACGGGGTCTTTTTAAATATAGTATGGCTTCCTTATAGCCCAGACTCTCTGTCTTCGAACTTCTTGGACATGCTCTGAATCAGCAGTCGGGAAATCAGCTGCTGCCGGAGCCCCATGGAGGAGAGCCCTCGCTCGATGCAGAGCTTCCTGAGCGACTCGGGGTGCATGATTCCGAGGTCGGCCGCCTCACTTGCCTCAGCTGGTCTGTGGAACGCCTCAAAATCTACATGTCGTAACGCTTATATTTTTTGAAGACTGAAGACTAGACTATCGGATGGCTACCGGCTCGGAAAGAAGGCATGCTCAAGAAAGGCCCGATCGCGACATGGCTTGCATCTGAAAGATGAAACCTCCGTGGGCTTAATGACACGGAGCGTCTCGGAGTGGGACTTCGTCCAGGCGACAGCAACTCCCTTTTGGGAGGCTGAGCCCAACGGTGCTCCGTGGCTTTCTCACTCGCCGCCTTTGGCAGTGCCTGCGTGGCCTGCAGTAGAGCAGCAATTCCTTTGTGGGCTATCTTTGCGGAGTTGTCGCCCTGCGAATTCTGTGCAGAGGCAGGCAATGGGCTTCGCATGCGGCTCTTGGCTCTTGCATCTTTCTCCTTAGGCGCCGCGGGTGATGGCATTGCCTGTGCCGGCATGGGTGATGCGCTGCGCCGGGCGGCTGGAATCGGAGTGTCGCCAGAAGCTCTCTTGGCAGCTGGCTTTTGCTCTGGTCTTGGCTGGTCACGATGCTCTTCGCTGCCAAGCTGTGACAGCGTAGGCGCCGCGGACAGGAGACGGAACAGCCGTCCGGGCCGTGACGTGCCAGGTTCGGGGGCTTTTGAATTCTCCTCAGCAGCGCCCTGCCACTTTGGCAGTGGAGATCGGCTGCGTGCGCGAAGAGTGCTTTCTGAATTCACAGCGACCTTCTCTGCCAAACGCTGCATTGCAGGGGAGGGGCTCCTTCTTGCAAGTGCAGCACTGGCAGCTTCCGCCAGGCAGCTGAACTTCGTGGGCGCTGTCACGTCTCCCGTGACCTCCGACCTTTGCTGCTCTTCAGGTGGCGCTGTGTCGGATGGCTCAGGGCGGCCCTGCTTAGACGTTGAAGGCGACGGGCTGCGTCGGCGAGGGGGAAGTGAGGAGCTGGGTGTCCTCAACTTCGTGCTGCACGTTGCTGCGGTGCTGGCACCTGCCTTCTGCTGACTGTCTTGTGCATCCTTGCCTCCCTTGCTTGGCGCTGGTGGAGTGGCGGCTTGCTGCATTGTGTCGGCCGCGCTTGATGCCTTCTGAGCTTGAGTTGAAGGCGACGGGCTGCGTCGTCGAGGTGGGGGCAGGGAAGTGCTGGGCATCCTCACTTTGGCATTGGATTTCGGGCTGGTCTGCTTCTGTTTCTTCTGGCCACCTTTCCCCTGCTTGCTCTCAAGGCTATGCCCTGGCGACCGCGCACGTGTGCTTGCAGGAGGCTTTGGATTCTTGGTGGCATCTTGCTGTGACGGCATCGGGTCCATCATAGGGGGAGTATAGGGAGCAGCTTCAGCTCCTGCAGTGTCCTTTGCCTCATCTGGTGCTGACTGGCCTTGGTTTCGCATTGCAGGCGAAGGACTGCGTCGCCGAGGTGGGGGCGGGGTGCTGGATTTGGGAGTGGCCCTGGAGTCTTTCTTCTGCTGCGGCTTGGGTTTCTGCGGCTTCTGCTTCGGATTTTTCTCACCGGCATCGGCGGTCTTGAGAGACTCATGGGAAGAAGCTGGTGAGGTGGCACCTGCTTGGGCCGGGAGCTTGGACTTCCCTGCTTGCTGCGCTGGCACTGGACTTCGGCTTCGTGCATTACGAGCAGCTTCCTTCGCTTGCTTTGAGGCGTCTTGTGATGAGGATGGGCTGGTCTGCGGCTGCACGGCGGACTTTCGAAGGGATGCGCCCCTCGCCGGGCTTGCAACATTGGCAACTGGAGTCGTCGGAGGCTTCGGGCAGCCAGGAGCACTGCGGCTGCGCCGGGCCGGGATCGTTGCCTCCATGGCCTTCTTGGCCACAGAGGCTAAGCTGGAGGCCGCCACGCTCATGCTTCGGGTGACCCGCCTTGTATAGCTCGCCTCTTGACTCTTCTCCTTGCTCGCATCTCGATTGGCCTTCGATGCTTTTCGCTCCTTGGTCTCTTGCGGCTGCCGGAAACTCGGCGGCGTGTGGAGGAGCCTCTGAAGACTCCCCAGGAAGTCCTTTGAGGGCGCCTGCGCAAACGAAGCCAACGAAGGTGTGATCTTCAACGGTTCCTCCAAGCTTCCGACTTCCCGGCTCATTCCGCCGGGCATGGCGCAGAGGATACAGGCCGCCGTCATGTCCACGCTGAAGGTGATAGGCCAAGAGGGCTGGGACGGTTGCGACTGCCCTGGCAGTAGAACCTCGGCAACTGCTTGCTCCCTGTACTGGGATTATAAGGGGAGTCTCGGGCTTCAGTTCTTCAGCTCAGAAAAGGGTTGAGGAGTCCTTGTCTACGTCGAGCTATATCTCAACGGAGCCTTCGCTGCCCAAATCCCCCAAAAGCCTTTCAAAAACCTCAGGAGCCCGTAAACCCCAAAACCCGAAACCCTACCTAGACACCCAAGTTACCCTCTAATCATATACACAAAATACCCACTATTCAGGGCCAGAAAGACTCTACTGAAGGGTCCTTAAAGGGAACTCTATTAAAGAACCATTTACAGTGCCCTTGAAGGAACCCTTAAAGGAACCCTTGGAGGGTCCTGGTAAAGGCCCAGGGAAGCACTAAACTCTAATCCCTACACCACTAACCCTAGACGCAAAACCCCTAAACCCTGAACCCTAAACCCAAAACCCAAAAACCCTAAACCTCTAAACCCTAAACGCACAAACCAACCCTGAACCCTAGACCCAAAAACCCTGAACCCTGGACCCAAAAACCCTGAACCCTAAACCCTAAAAGGCCCAGAAGCTTCCGGAAGCTCTAGGCAGCCCCAGGGAAGCTCGAAGCTTTGTCCCGCACGCACCTGCGCAGATTCCGAAAATTAGGGGGGGTACCTTGTCAGGGTTTAGGGTTCAGGGTCTGGGGGTTCAGGGTTTAGGGTCTGGGGGTTTTAGGGGTTTATTTTTTAGGGCTACTAGAAGGGTTTCCGAAAATTAGGGGCCTTATTTTGGGGTTCTTATGATAACGATCCTAGTATTTAGGGTTTGAGGTTTTTTCTGGGTCCTTATACTAAGCATCCTACTATTTAGGTTTTAGGGTCGAGTGTATTTTGGGGTCCCTATGATAAGGATCCCACTATTTAGGGTGCTATATTAGGGCCCGTTACATTTTCTTATAGGATCCTTAAGGGAGGGTGGTTCAAGGGGGGAGGGTATAAGGAATCCTTAGGGGACTGTAAGGGAACCTTAGGGAGTACTAGGGAGAATTAGGGATCACTAGGCTATATACCCCCCCTGGACCCCCCTCCCTTAAGGATACTATAATTTTCGGAAACTCCCACCTCGATGGTCATGCTCATCCGGGTGAAGGTCACTTGCGCGGCGCTCGCGTGCCTGGGCGAACAACCCCGATAACCCTAGGGATCCTACAATGACATGGTTTAGGGTTTAGGGCCGTTTAGGGCCGAGGGTTTTGGGGCTTGTGGGGTTTAGGGCTTCATTTCGGGACAGAAGTTAAACTACTGCTCTGTGCCAGGGTTCCACATGTGTTGAGTCCTTGACGGGGGCTGGGTCGCTGTGACGTGCGCATACCCGAAACCTGACACACCAAACCCAAAGCCTCCAACCAAAGCCATCAACCCTAAGGCCCCGAAGCAAAACCCTAAATCCGGAAACACCGTTAGAACGCCCAAAGCCCTCAATAACGCACCGTAGTGTAACCCCTAAAGTTCCGAAAATTTGAGTCCCAAATGAATAAGATCTCCATGATTCCCAAAAAAAGACTTCACACAACGAAACTCCTACTTCGGGAGCTCAAACATCCAAAATCACCCAAAGGGAAACCTAATAGCAAAAATACTGAAACTGAGGCCTTATAATCTTCTGTCTTCAGAACGCCGAGTCACAGATTTCCCCACTGCACCGCACAGCTTGCCGGACCCAATCGGCTGGGGTCCACGGACCTCAGCTGTAGGGAGAAGAGGGTTCGTTTTCAGGGGATCTAGAAGATCAGTTTGGGATTTCAAGGCTTACCTGTACCCTGAGGAACCTACCTTTTTTATGGTTCCCTAATACGATTTCTTTATGTAAGTCCGTAAAAAGGGTAGGTTATTTGGCGTTTCTTTGTTTAGGGATTGGGCTTTGGCGGGCTTCGGAGATGTCGGGCTCAGAGGTTTAGGGCTTTCCGGGGCGGGCTACAAAGTATCTTGTGGCTTTACGTCTTCGGCGCTTCAGGCTTTGTGTGTTGGGGCCTTGGTGTTGAAGCCGCCCTGGAGATCCGGAGGTTGCTATCGGTCATGCAGTCTGAAGCTTGGGGCTTTGGGGTTGCGGTGGGTGGGGAGGGAGGGTTTAGGGTTTAGGGTTCTTTGCCGGATACTGAAACCGCATGAGAGCGGCGTTCTCTGTAGGTACTGATTACGGCTGGGGCTGACTTCAGGACGTGCAATCCTAAGCCCTGTACTACGCCGTATACATCCTAAAGCCTAAACCCTGCGGTAGTCAATAGTGTTTTGTTCTAACCAGCCATCAACAGACGATGGCTGGTTGTAAGAAGTTGGCGGGCTAAGACTTTCTGAATTTATGGAAATCCTCACAGGCCATAGAACGTTTCAAAGACCCTACAAATCATACCGCTACCTTTCACACAACCACCACACAAAAATTCCCCAAAAAAGTCTCCAATCGGAGCCGAGTGTCATTGAAAACTCTTTGAGCAGACACTGCCGATTCTCCGCGAAGTCCTTTGGGGCCGTGGCCTGGAGGTTCTTGCAGGCCTGCTTGCCAGCCACCTGAGGGTCGCGACTTTATCACAAACTCCCATACTCGCAGCCAAGGGCAGCGCTTAGGAAGACCCATCACCCTTCTGAACATCGCGCCAGCCGCAGCAAAACCAGGACCTGTTGCTAAAAGCTATCCGACGTCCCCGCGCCCAACAAAGCCAACACACACACACACACACACACACACACACCGAACCCCTGTAACCTCAGCCCTGAAACCCCAAACCCTGAAACATGAACCCTAGAACCAAACTCTAGACTCAACAACCGCCGCACAGAGTCCTATAAAAGTCCAGCCGGACCTCGTCGTAATTATGGACAAGGATAGAGACCTTACTTACCGCGCCGCTGGTACACTCTGCCCACGGCGAAACCTTTAAAGACCCTTAAAGCCCTTAGCCGAACCCCTGAAGCCGGAAGCCTGAATGAGCCGCTGCACAATGTCCGGCACGGGCTTGGCCCCACGGCCCTGCCCCCGATGCATGTTCGCACAGAGAGGGTTTGGAGTTAAAGGTTGGGTTTGGGGCTTGTTGGGCCTTATACTTATGCACCCCCTCGAAGAAACGAGCATTTTAAAACCCTGAGACGTAAGCCTTTCTGCAACTCTTGCGTACTCAACATCAAAAGCATGTTCAGTTGTGCGTACTGCAGTGATTGTCGTCGCCGCCGCCTTCCGCAAGACTAAGGTGGAGTCGTTGTCGGCGTCGACCACTACAGCCACCACAACGACGACTACTACTACGTACTCCCTACTCCTGCAGCTGCTGTCGCTGCTACTAATGCAAGGGCTATGATGATGGTGATCCATGACTCGGTCGAGCTACAGTAGCTTTGTCAGAACCCCACAACTTCCCCCCCCCCCCCCCCCAGCCCCCAGACGCCTAAAACCCAACCCTTTACCTTCAACCCCAGACTTGAAACCCGCACCGCAAGGCCCTTTTCACCCGAAGCCCAAAACCTCAAAGAAGCTCAAAATATGCTACGATACAACCCGAGATAAGCATTTAACCAGCCCATGCAACTTGTTAAATGATGGCGAAAACTACATACCAATCGTAGAAGCAAAACGATGAAACCCTTCAAACAAAAATCGTGTCAAAGTAGGGCACTATCATTGCAAAACCTATCAAACTAGCGTACCATCGTTGCAAAACCTATCAAAGTAGGGTACTATCATTGCTTTCATTAGGTTCCGTTTTTCCCAGCCAGAGAGGCCTCTTCCAGTGGCCGCACCCGCCGGAAAGAACGCCAGAGCAGCTCCAGAAGCGGCTCCTGCGCGACGTCTGCTTGGGTGTTGTAAGACAGGGTTTAGGGTTCAGGGTTTAGGGGTGTTTTTATGCGAGACGAGGGTACAAAGAAGGTTTATGATGTAGTTTGGGATATAAGGGCTTGTGTCAGGGCTTTACTTTGTTTGTGGTGTTTTTCGAAGCCTTCTAGACCCCGTAACGGAAGCCTTACAGGAACGCTTGGAAAGAAAACCCCAAACAAGAATTGAAAAGGGAACCCTTATATGTAAGGAAGCCCATAGGTAACCCCCTTCTGGTACCCTTCTAGAACCCTTCCGGGACCCGTAACAGAACCCTTTACGGGAGCCCTCGAAGCCCTACACCCTAAACCGACCCAAATAGCAGGATCGTTATCATAAGGACCCCACAACAAGGTACCCCTAATCTTCGGAAACTCCAGACCCTTATAGAGCCCGTTAAGTTTTAGCCTTAAACCCCTAAACCCGACTGCGCCGGGATTCGTCAAAAGCTCCTGGAGCTTCGGATCCTCGGGTCCGAACAGGAGAACCTGGCAAAGGTTGTTGTTCTTTCTTTGGGGGGGGGCTCCTTTAAGGGTTGGGTTCCTTTGAAGAGGTTCCATGAGGGTCCCAGAAGGGTTCTATATAGAGGTCCGGTTTGAGGGGCTATGGGCTTCCTTGGAAGGGTGTTTGGGGGGTTTGGGGTTTTGGGCTTCTGGGGTTTTGATATTGGGTTTGGGTGTTTTGGGTTTGGGCTTTAGGGTTTGCGGTTCAGGGAGTCATGATTAGGGTCCAGAAGACTTGCCACAAGGGCTTGATCAGGGATCCAGAGGTACTTGGAGTTATAGATGTAATTATGTTCAAGGCTGCGTTTAGCTGGAGTTTTTGAAGACCTGGTCAGGATTTAGGGTTCGGGATATTTGGAATGTTGTGTGGTGGGTGCCGTCGTCGTCCGCGCTGATGTTGTCGAGGTCTTCGTGTCAGTAAAGCTAGAGCCTTGCTCTCGTACTTGCTCATGGTTTTCATAAGCACTGCTATGAGCACGACCATTCAATCTAGTACAAGTGCTCATCACAGCGGTGGCAGTGGAAGTACTCAGAAGCAGCAGCAGCAGCAGTTCCGACTTTGATGATTACGATGAAGATGATAGCTACGACGATGCTGCAATTGTCAAGGGTGACTCTGGTTGTCGTGCATGATAGAACGACTTTGGCATTGCGGCCACTGTTTTGTCACAATCGCACAACAAGAAGACCCTTGCTTTTCGACTTCGAGCTGTTCCCCAGAAAGGTCCCAAATCCCTGCCTCAGCAAACTGCATCCGGACGCTACTGGTGAAGATGTCTCTTTCACCACACTCCTTGCACATGTCCTGAGGTTCAGGGCATCAAGTTCTGGGTTGCCCTGGAAACTCCAAAGCTTCATCGCAAACAACATTCACGGTCAAAGAGTGACCCAATGTTTGCTTGGTGTCTAGATCGAGCCTGAATAGATAAGGGTCCGGGCATAATAACCATAGGACCATAGTGTAGTAGGCCTAAGGTTGAGGATTTGGGATTGGAGGTTCCACAGGTGAGGCTTAGGATTTGGATGGACTTCGGTTGAAGGCACAAACCATGTGCAGAGAATGTATTGTCTCTACTTCTCACCGCCCAAGAAGCACATGTTTGATCTTGCGAGGCTTAGAAAAAGCTGATGAAGTTCAATGGCACCTGGCGGAAGATCGTCAGAAACGCCTACACAACTGTAGCATATACCCCGCAAGCACTGTTGTGAGGTTTAAGGACCCTAGACTCCAAAGAATCAACCACGCTCACCTGAAGGACCCCATCCACGAGTCCCAAACTGAAAAATACTAAAACCCATGCACCATGCCGCCCACCTTGAAACCTCGTACATAACAAGCCAGCAAAGCGAGGCACTTCACAATCCCTCCAGCACACCTAAAGCCTTTAGCCTTCTTCGAAAGCACCCCCTAAATAGAAATCCCAAGCCCGAAACCTAATAAAAATCCCAAGTGCTTGACCATGAAAGTCTCACACCCATCTAAACACCCACCGAACGCCCCTTTTTGACCCCGTGTTAACTCTGCAAGGCCTTGAATATAGATGCCCACACCTTCATCTCTCTGAAACCCTTCAACACTAAACCCTAAACCCTCAACCCCTAAACCCCAAACCGTAAACCCCTAAACCCCCTAAAACCCACGAACCCTAAACCCCGAAAAAACTTTGGAAAAAACCCTAAACCCTCTCTAAAATAAGCTGAGCCGAGACTCCGTGGCATCTTGTAGAGCGCAGGCCAGGAGCTCGGCGGCGGCGCGGCTTGCCTGGAGCCGCGCATAGCGGAGCAGGGCGTGGCACTTCTCCTTCGCCTGGGCTTCTTTCTTCTTCTGAGAGCTTAAAATATGAATAAGATAATACTGCTAATAGTAATAGTAGTAATAGTACCAGTAATACTGATAATAGCAATAATAAGAAGAGAGGTGCGTTTAGGGCTTAGGGTGTGCCCTTTTCGGGCGTGGCATTTCGGGATTAAGTTTTGTTGCCGTCGTCCTGCTTCTCGTCGTCGTCACGGCTCTGGCGGTGCAAGCTGCAGTGGCAGTAGAAGTAAAACCTATACTCTACTAATTACTTGCTGCTGCTCCTCCTCGTCCTCCTCTCCTCCTCCGCTCCTTCTCCTCCACGCCTCCTCTTCTGATTCTCGTCCTCGTCGTCCTACTCACCGACACTAGCTCTACGAGCAGGAACAGCAGCTCCGGCTGCTTTTGCTTAACCCTCCAAACTACACATATCTAAAGAACATGCGGACCCAGTCGCGGCTTCTGATTCGCTGCTTTTGCCCGGCTTTGGCTCCCGTCCGGCGGCGGCAACCGCCGACAGCAGTAGCGGGAACAGGTCCTCAACAGGGGCTGAGGTTTGCTACGACTGCTAGCAGCAGTTTCCTGCATAGGTGTGATGAGTGGTGTCGGGCTCACGCATACACTGTTTGTGAAATCAGCTGGCTTTCCCGAGTGTATGAAAGGGTTCTTGCTCAGGGTCTATCTGAGTATCTGTGGTGCACAGCATGCTGGAAACCCAGAGACCGAACCTTAAACTGACACCAAACCCGAACCCAAACCACGAACCCTCAATCCCCAACTGCCCACCCCAACCCCCCCATCTAATCTACCCAGAAACCCCAAACTCTTCCTACATCCCTTTTTGAGCCCCGGTCCGGTGTACGCCCCGGCATGAAGCAGTCGGCCACGAGCACTGCAGAGGCCACTGAGGGGCACGGGCGGCAGTCGAGGAGCTGCATCGCAGCACCGCAGTAGTTCCTGGGATACTTGGGCCATATGGGTGGTAGGGTCCCTTTTAAAAGGGACCCTTATGGGGTTCTATAAGGAATCTATAAAAAGTTTCCATATTCTATATGGGTGGTTGTCATATTAGGGTCACTTTTTGGGTCCTTAATATAATACGGCACCTAATTATATTAGGGTACCCAAAAAGGGACCCTAATTTTGATAACCACCAACTTGTTTACGGCGGCCCTGATTTTAGAAGCATCAACAGTCCAAATCTGGAGGCCTTCCATCCTGTAAACATCACACTCAGTGCCTTGTTTACTTTCATCGTCTGCACCTGACGCCACAAGACCTTTAAGAAGTTGTTGAGGCAATGGCCCCTTTGCGGAACGGTATTGCAGAAGCGCAGCTTGAAATCACACGCACAAGGTCTCCGCGAACTTTAGCGGACTTTCCAATTCAAACAGAAATCGAGAAGGCCAGCCCGGAACCAGCATTCTTCGTCACCACCGTTCTCATGCTCAGCATTATATACAATCGTCGTCAGATTCGTCATCATCATCAGCATCATCATCCTCATCATCTGCATTATCGTTGGAGCATGACCCACATCAACAACATCATCGCGATCATCGTCATCACCAACAGGAAAACCGAGAACATCACGGTCGGCTAAACTGCATCTTCACCAAAAGACATAAACACAGCCACAGCAGGATCACGGGGGTCACATCTAATCAATATTGACTTCGGGGGTAGATGACAGGAAGCTGCACGATGGTTAGAAAGCCCACAGTCTGTGCGGGTTTCTGCATTGACCGAGGTACTGCACCGCCACACCCTGCTGAATCCCGTCGACGACATCCACAGACTCCGCTTCGGCCTGCAAAGGGGAGGAACACGCCGAAGCACAACACCTGTACCCCAGATCAATCACGAATCTGCGCCTGAAGCATAAAGGAGTTGGTTTGGCCCTAAACTCTGTCCCTTATGGAACGCTTCAACGACCTCTCAACTCCAGATCACCTACAGATCCCTCGTAGAACCCTAAAGCCACAAACAAGCTTTCTGGATCCTTAAATGCCGCTACACTTCCCTTATAGATCCTCCAACCCTGAACCCCAAACAAAACCTTAAGCCCCAAACCCTAAACCACAAAACCTAAGCCCAAAGCCCTCAACCCTAAACCCACAAAACCGATGCCCAAAGCCCTCAACCCTAAACCCCAAAACACCCGTACTTCCGGCGCTTGCCTCGGCCAGGAAGTTGTTGATCAGAGCCGTCAGAATCGGCTGGAGGCCCTGGAGGATGATCGTCAGGGCCTCTTTACGGGCTTTAAAAGGTTCAGGGTTTAGGCCTCTTTGGGGGCTTGAAAAAATGTTGAAAGGGTTTAGGGTTTAGGGCTCCTGAAATTTTAGGGATTTTGAAGGTTTAGGCTTTAAGCCTTTTTAGGGGTCTTTAGAGGTTTTAAAGGTTCAGGGTTTAGGGTCCGGGATTTAGGGTTGTGATGGGTACTTCCGAGTTGTTGTTATGTTGATTACTGGTGATTGTCAGGGCCTCGTTGGTTTAGGGTTTGAGGTTTAGGCTTTAGGGCTCTGGGTTGAAAGTTTAAACTTTGGGGTATGGGGATTAGGGTTTCGGGATGTTGGTGTTTAGGGTTGAGGGTGTCAAGATGGTGAAGGCCTCTTCAGGGCTTCAAGAGAGTATAACGGTTACCAGTCCCCTTTTGAATCTGCGGAATGTTTCCTGAACACAGGTCCCTTAGCGTAAACTCCAACGCCCCAAGCATTTTAGGGATCTCACTAATATTGAAAACGATACTCCGGTATAGTAGTATGATAATATCTTCGATAAAAAAGTTAAGTCAAGTTATAACCTTATGGCCATCTTGTCTTAGATCCCCTATAAATAATCGTAATTGTAATCCCCATCAATACCATTACAGCATGATGTACTCCAAACCCCGACCTCCCCAACCGGAAGCGTGAAACCGGCCCTCCCCCTCCCCAAACGCTCAAAAACATCAAAAGGGAGCCTCCTTGGCCCAGACGCGCCCAGACAGGTGTAAGATCGTCGCTGAGAGAACCTTGCCGCCGGGGGGGGAGAAGAGCTTCGGTTTCGAGTCTTTCTTTGAGCGCTCTTTTTTCGATCTGCCTGGGTTTAGGAGTTCGGGGTTTTGGATTTAGTTATTTTTTGCAATGGGGTTTAGGCTTGAGAGTCTAAGTCTAAGGCTTAAGAAACCGGGATTTAGATTATGCGCAGGACCATGCAGGAACACCAGTAACCAGCACAAGCTGGCAAACAAGCTACGACAAGTGAGGGCCCAGGGCACTCCATCACCTCGACACCGAAAAGCCAAGTAAGTAAACGAAAACGTCCCGTAAACCCAAAATAAACAAAAAGACTACAACCTACCTACATCCAAGAACGAAGCCTGAACCCAACAATAGTACATCCTAATAACACGTTTTGAAACCCGAACTTTGCAAGGCCCATATCATACACCTTCTTGAATCGGGGCCATTACAATAAAGTACGTCCCTTGTACCCTAAACTGTGATTAATCAGCATAACAGTCGTTTCCCACCCTTAGAATCCTTAGAACTCTACTTACGAAGTCCTCTCATCCCAAGCAGTCTCAGGACAGGGCGTAAGAGTCCCCAACGTCCTTGGACTTTGCTGCGTCGACCTCTTTTCGGATTTCGGCAGGTCATGTTCTTGCTGCCTGCACTACTGCAGTCTCAAGGATGAGCTGTGCTAAGAGGGCTTCGGCGATCACATCACGTAAGATCAGCGAGAAATGTCTCGGTTTAGGTTCTAGTGCTTTTAAGCTGGCATCATGCATGTTCAACAGAAAAACCATGTTCTATAACAGTCGCAGTCGTCGTTGTCGTCGTAGTCGTCGTCGTAGTAATAGTGGTGGTGGTGGTGGTACTGCTGCTGCTGCTGCTGCTGCTGGTGCTGGTGGTGCTGGTGGTGGTGCTGGTGGTGCTGGTGGTGCTGGTGGTCGACCACGACCACGACGACTGCTGCTGCTGCTGGTGCTGCTGCTACTACTACTACTACTGCTATTGGTACTACTAGTACTACTAGTACTACTGCTACTACTACTGCTACTACTACTTCTACTACTACTACACTACTACGACTACGACTACGACTGCGACTTCGACTACGACGACGACTACTACTTCTCCTACAACTACGACGACTACGACTACGACTACGACGACGACTACGACTACGATGACGACGACTGCCACTACGACGTCACCCGCGCGGCTCACCCCAACAAAACACACCCTAAATGAAACTTTGAAGCCAAGCTGCTGCGAAGGCCATGAGCCTTCGAAGGCCCGCGGCGCTCATGAGCTGCTTCGTCATCTGCGGGTTTGGGGGGTGGAAGCTTGAGTCGCTGGTGCCGTTCGTGAGATTCACACTGGCGGTCTGGTATGAATACTGCTTTGGTGTACATACAGTACACAACGCCTACAGGAACAGTGAGCTACAAGCTTTTGAGACTCCAATACTAATTCGGGATCAGGTTTGGGGCGGTGAGGCTTCGAGTTCTAAGCATTTTGTGCTTCATGGATTCAGAAGCTCACGGGAATTGGGGTTTGGCCCGTCGGGGGTGTTCCAAGGGTTCAGGGCGAAGACGAAGGTCCGGTGAGGAGCTTTGGACCTTCCTCGCATCTGGACCCACTTTCATTTGGGGCTTAGGGTGTTAGGGTTCAGAGTCCACTTCAAGCCCACCCCCGCTCACCTACAAAGTCCGTGTCCAGAAGCCTCAATGCCCCAGCTGAAGCCCAAATTTGAAACAGGCTGTGCAGGCCCCTACCCCGCCCCAACTGAGCACGTTCGCCCCCAACAGACAGGACATGAAACTCAACCTGAAACTACCCCAAGCTCTAGACACCGGAAATCTCAACACCTCCACCCTCACACCCTAAACTGTCTGGTTCTTAGTAAGGAATGGGGAACTGGATTATGAGACGATTATTGGGGAGTATATAGGGACTAGTATCGGGATCCATTCCCCCATTCCCTACTAAGCACCAGACAGGAAAACCCCAGACCTTGAGCCCCTGGCCTCGGGGCTTCGGGGGATTTCAACAGCCTCCCAAGGGCTCTCAGGTGACTCTCTCCGTCAAAGTAGCAGAGGATTTCAGGTTCTGGGATGGCAATAAAGTGACGTGGGACTTGGGGTTGCGGATTCTGGGTACAGAAAGCTCGGCTTGGCCGTTGCACACACCAAGACCATCTGTTCGGCAGCATCCTGGGCAGTTCGTGGCTAAGGTCACGCCACGCGGGGACATGGTCGTGCTGATCCTGCGCTCGGGAATTAGGATCGGGATTCGATGGTTGTTGGATGTTGTTGGTACTAGTAGGTTTGGCCGTAAGGCCTTGCCGATTCAAGCAGTGCAGAGAGCACGGCGCCTCCTGGTGGGCAGCCCACGAAGCACAGGCGTTTCGCACCCCCTTAGCTCAGAACTGCGATGCGGCTTCAACGCACACAGCACATATTTCGTAATTCAGTAGTGGCTGCTACTGGTAGGATTTAAGGTTCAGGGTTTGGGGCTTTGGATGGTTTCTGTCCCATAATGGCCCTGAGGCGGAGACCCTTGTCCTTTGGCCACTGCTGGTCTCTGTAGCGGGGCAAAGCTCCCGCGGGCTTTGCTCTTGGCGGTCTTAGGGCTTCGAGTATAACTATATGATAAGGAACCCCCCCAAACCCTAGTCTGATTGTAAAGGCCCCGATATATGCGGATTCTGAGGGGGCTTTGTCGGGTTCGGGTTTTTGCGGCTTCAAGGCTTTGTTTAGGCTTCTAGGTTGACCCAAGGAACTCAGAACTCCTTACTTAACATGAAATGAAAGGGCTCATCCAAGACAAGCGTGAGAACTACATGGCTGGTAGTTACACCCACAACTTGGAAACTTCCCCCTAAATCTTAAATCAACCCTCAACTTAGACACTCCAAGGGCCTCTTGTTTTCATGTTAAGAGACTCTTTAACTGAGCCCGGCCACTTCGGAAACTCCTGCGTTCAAGGCGTCCTCGCACAAGGGGAAAGCTTGGTTTAACCGGTCCGGGCTTAGGGTTCTATAAGGGAGCGTCAAGGCCGCAATCTGTACGGAATCTGCAAGGACTTCAAGGTTTCGGTCAGTCTTCACGCAGGCTTTAGGTGTGTGGGTTGAGGATTTGGGGTTCCGGGATGACGGCTTCTTCGTACAGAGGTAAGAATTCGGAATTCTGACTATCCTGACTCTCAGATTCAATCATAAAATCCCATAGAACTCTGCTGAACCCTACCTCTTAACCACAGAACCACAAACGAAAAAAAACCTTACAGAGCCCTTTCAACATTTTTTAAGTGCAATGGGGGCTCTTTTTGAGGCTTAGAGTTTAACCCTCCATGCAAAAACACAAGGAGCCCTGCCATACTCCTGTACTTATCAAGAGCACCCTTTGGGGGGGTAGCTTATACTATAATTATAATTAATAAGGAGCCCCCCAACATAGTACAGGTAATTATTAAGGCTCCTATAATTACTCTTTTCCTGATCAAGAGCCCCCTTTTTGTTTTGGGACTCTCGTGGCCGGAGTCCTCCAGGCTCTGTAGCAGCTCAGACTCGGGAGCCCAGGCCATGGCTGATCAGGCCTGCTTCGGGGATCTCTGGTTCAGGCGTTTAAGGGCTGAGGTTAGACTTTGGGGTCTCTGGGCTTAGGAGGGTTTCGGTCTCAGAGTTTGGGGTCTCTAGGTTTCGGGGTTTAGGGTGAAGGGTTTGAGATGGGTTCGAGGGTTTAGCAACTTTAGGGTCTAGGGCATCTAGGGTTTAGGATTTGGCGTCTCGGGTTTAGGGACTTAGGGCTTAGGGTCTGGTGGCTTTTAAGGGATCGCCGAAGGATCGATGAGGGATCTAGAAGAGATCTATACAAGGTGGGGGTTTTGGGTTTAGGGTTGAGGGAATAAGGGTTTAGGGTTTAGAGATTAGGGGTTTGAGATTTTGTGCTTTGAGGTTGAAGGCTTGGGGTCTTGGGTCTTATGGCACGGGGTTTTGGAGTCAGGGCTTTGGGGTTCGGGGCTATCGCGAGTCGATCGTTCACTCCCTAGTAAGGAGGGGGGGGCGGGGGCGGGTCTCCAAACCTGCTCTCGCAGGTTTCAGCAAGTTTCGGTACTTTAAAGCACCTCTCCGTGAATAAAGACTGTGTTGTAGGTGTAGGGATCCTAAAATTTGAATCCTGAAAGAAGGTTTTTGTTTTCGATCAGCGGTCTGCATTCAGTTTGAAAGTTTAGGATTCTTGGGGTCCTAGGCAAAACTCCGAAAACAATAAAGGGCCATGACATGTCTTGTTTGATGATCCGGGCGCAAGCCTGTCGACAACGAGCGCAAAGAAGGACGACACATTGATGTCGTTCAGTATTCAGGCTTCTACGTAAAATTTCCTGCATTCGAGGCATGGGGCTTGGGGCAGACTTGGGGTTGCGCTGAGGCTGACAGATGTCAGGCGTGGAGTTCAGGGACGTTGGGGTTGAAATTTCGGGATTGCGGGGTTAAGGATGCAAAGGTTCGAGTTCCTCGGAGTGAGTGAGTGAGTCGCCCGTTGGCAGAAGGACGGGCACCCGCTTTGTCTCCACCCCTTGAAGGGTTAAGACGCAAACGGGGCGCAGGGCTCCGAAAACGTCGTGGCCGTAAGCAAAGCAGAGCAAGCCAGCGGCATCGGGCACGCCCCCCTCCCAAGTCAGCAGGGGCAAGCTAGCGAGGGTTGGAAAGACACTTGGCAAGACAGCCCACTTCACAGCCCGACATGATCTCTCATGAGGGTACTAAGCAAGGGACGCCGGCACGAAGCAAAGACTCTCACACTACTGCCATATTCCTACGGGCCATCTCCAGCCATGGCCAATGAAAGGCCATCCCCTGCCATGTGGCAGCACTACACAGTGTGCCCTCGTGTGATGGGACGGTGCCACCGAAAGTGTGGCACCGTCCCTATCAAAGTGGCTGTCGAGTTCCTCGAAAAAATGAGCCTGAGTGGAAGGCTCCCAAACCCTCAACCCTGAAATCCGAAACGCGAAACCGCAGCTCATTCGTGGGACTCTCAGGAATCATAGGACCCAAGACTTCCGGGCCTTGCTCTCCGACAACTACGAGAGACGACTTCTGCAGCTATTTCTGCAACTTGATCCAAACAATGGCAGGTCAAGGTTTGCGGGTTCTAGGGCTCGTGCAGAAGATTAGAGTCTGTGCCGCAAGAAATCATTGCGAGAGTCTGGGAGTATTGGTGTGCTTAGGGCATGCTGCGCCAGTAGCGGCATCCAACGTTCCCTGCGCTGCGACACGGAAAGCCCCAAAGCTAGGAGACAACTCTTAACACAGCTTTACCTGCACCTTAACGCAGCTTTACCTGCACTTCCTGCATGAAATGTCGAAAGACCACTGACATACAGAAAAGGGCATGCCTGTGTCATCGCGGTAGCATGCTGCCACTGACAAGTGGCAGTGGTGCGCCCTATGCTCTTATATGTGCAAGTGGTGAGAAGCCCCTGCGATCGGTAGCTCCTTCCGGTCAATGACGACCTTCTGTCTGATCATCTGGCATTGCAGCGACTGCTGCACTTGTTGGCGCACCTGTTTTGCCAAGCACAAAAAGCCAAGACGCGAGTATGGTCAGCATGGTAGTCTTGTTGTCCTCAGATTCTAGGGTCTCATAACGCCACGAAGAGGCATCCAATCAGGGGGCTTCGTGCTCGGATGAAGGAGTGCTGGCTCTCATCTGACTCGCCGTGGGACAGGCCCCGTTGAAGCTGGGTGATTGCGGATGTGCAACAAGTAGTGTGAGGTTGATCTTTCAAGCTCTATGAAAAGCTCGTATATAAGATACTCCTAAACCCAACGGCCGTCGATGTAAACGACTTCAGCGAATATGTTCGGAGTGCATAATTGCGAAAGAATGTCTAACTCTGGGCCCTTGTACTACCAAAGAGCCTAATACGCCTTAGTTCAAGTTTATTTAGGGCTTGTTAATAGGATGCATTCCCTATTTGAGAGGTCGAGCATCTGCACTTACGTTTTTGAGGTTGGTCCCAAGCAGCCCGACACCGCAAAAGAGGGCATCTTCCCTCGATCATCACTAGAATAAGAAGACACAAAAACGTTCCGATAGTTTTCAAAAAACTAAGGGGTGCAGTGCTGTTTCGAGGGGCCTAAACCAAACCGTAAACCCTGAACCGCCAAAGCCCGTTCTCTGCCGACGCCTGGTCCCTTGACGCAGGGGGGATCTGGAGCGCCATGTGCACGATGGACTGGACGCCTCCGCTCTTCAAGGATATATATATATATAGTCTAATTTAATGGCTTTTTGGGCTTTCGGGTCTAGGATGCAGCGTCTGGGCTGGAGCGCGACAGGAATCTTCAAGACGACTTTGGGGCCCTTTTATCTTACCGTCTCCAGCGTCAGTAACCCCAGGCTGAGGGAGCAAGCTCAGGGAGCCTCTATTTGCAAGGATGCAACTCCCACGACCTAAACCCTGAAAGAAACCCACACGGTGTTGTGGCACATCAAGCCATTCACTCAAGATCACACTTCAGGGCAGGCTCTGCAAAGACAGTGCAAGACACAATAACCCGCATGATGAATACAACTGTAGTGGTCCAGGTTTTTCATGTTGCTGGCAGCACCAAGTCATTTGCTTGATGGCAGGCCCCCCGCCCAGCTGGTTGCCAAGCGGCGGGACTGTCTGAACTGGCCGGTGCATTGCACTCCATGCTAAAACACCGCCGGCCACACAAAACTGGTTCGAGTAATCGAATTGTGCCTTATCAGATTAAGAATGATTTGCCGTTCAGCCTCGAGCGTCAGCAGAACTAGGCCAAAGCTCACATACAGTTTTCACTGGTGGCCTCGGACTCTGTGTACGACTCTGACTCGCTGCTAGTGGTCTTGCCCTTCTCGAAGCTTTGTGCTGGTCCGCAGAACATCCCACCAGTCTCGGACCAGTAGTAGCAAGGGCTCAGAAGAGCCCAAAACATTACATAGCCCGCATGGACCTGGAAAGGCAGCAGGGCATCCTGGATCGGCTTGTAAAAGCAGAAGCCTGCAATCACTGCCCCGAGGTTTCCACCAGCACCCACAAGAGCGGACACCACTGCGAGCTGCTTCCGGTTCCTAGGGTTTAGGGTTCCTTAAAGAGACCTAGAAGGGTAGGGTTCTATAAAGGGTTTAGGGTTTAGGGTTTGAGGGTTTCCGAATCTTAGTCCATGCTTGGGATTGTATTGAAGGTTGACATTTCTATTCCTTCATGGGTTTAAGGACCCATAAAACTGTAAAGTATTGTAAAGTGTTACCCAACCATGACGAAGGTTCATGAACGGCACGATGCCGTAGGAGGTGCCCTCAGCCATCTGCACAAAGAGCGAGAAGCAAACCAAGACTGCCAAGGCCACGTACCAGGGCTGCGAATTGTCCACTTTTCCGAAGCTGAATAGAAAGATAGCTTCGAAAAAAAGTGCCAGGAACTGAGCCCAAATGCGGCCGCGGAAGCCGAAGTACTTGTAGCAAATATCGCTGCTGATGCCACCAAGAGATCTTGCGAAAAGATTCATGAGGCCGAAAGCACCCGCCAGGGCGCTGGCATCACCTGCATCCATCTGGAAGTAGGTCCGAAAATGCGTAGCCAACTGATTGTTCATTGCGAGTTCTGTGCCGAAACATGCTGAATATTGGAAGATCATGACGACGACGCGAACGTCACGCAGCACCTCGACATAGTCCCACATTGAAGGCTTTTGTGTCTTGCCGGTCACGGTGGGATCGTATTTGCGAGCCGTAGGCATATCCCAACACATGAGCTTCATGCAAATGGCGCAAATCACGAACATGACCGCCGGCACCACCATGGAGACACGCCAGGCGACATTTGGCTCCATCCCGGATGCCACCATAGGATTGAAAAGTACCGACATCATAAAGATCTGGGTCACGCCGCCTCCCAGGTTGCCCCAACCGGCCGCAGTGGCATTGGCCGTGCCAACAACGTTGGGGGCAAACATGAGCGAGCACCAGAACTGATTGGTCACGAACGTAGCGCCAGCACAGCCGATGAAGAAGCGGATCAGCGTATAGTTCCATGGAGCCGAAATCGCGGCCGCCATTGCCACCCAAAAAGCGCCGAAGGACATTAAGCCGCACTGAACGTTCACTGGGCCGAAGCGCTCCAGCAGCGTCCCCAAGGCTATCCTCACGAAGATAGTCGAGGCAACCGATGCTACGCCTGCGTTAGCAATCACCGATTTGCACTCTGTGCCCGGGGTGCACACGCACTTTGTGAGCACCTGGGGCCTGTACTTCTCTTTCTGCTCAGCCGTTGAGTCGGCGCCGCCCGCCACATCTGCGGGGACGTCCTTGCAGTCGATCAGCTTACCATCCTCCTTGAGGACCCCATACTGGCAATAGCTCAGCCCGCTCTTCAAGTTCTTGAACTTCAGGTAGGCTGGTCGCGTTGGGAAGTCCGTAGGAGGGAAGAGCTGGTTCTCGCACGTCCCCATACTGGTCGCAACCTCGAGGCCCAAAGGCGCCAAAGCGAACCAGCCCAGGAATGCAAGGAAGAAAGAGATCGTGGAGGCCCAGAAGGCACGCATATGCGGATTTTGCTGCACAGTGCCACAGACCCTCAGGAGCGGCAGCTCCGTGGCCTTCTTCGCGGAATCCACTGCCAGCTTGTACTCCGTCATGGCTCTACGAAGCGGGATGACTATCTCGATCTCTGTCCTGGAGGCTTTACTCGAGCACCAAAAACTTGCAGGGTTTAGAGTTTACGGCTTAATATATAGGGGCCTTAATAATTCGAATAGGGCCATGTGCACGATGGACTGGACGCCTCCGCTCTTCATGCAAGGATATATATATATATATATATATATATATATATATATAGTCTAATTTAAAGGCTTTTTGGGCTTGCGGGTCTAGGATGCAGCGTCTGGGCTGGAGCGCGACAGGAATCTTCAACACGACTTTGGGGCCCTTTTATCTTACCGTCTCCAGCGTCAGTAACCCCAGGCTGAGGGAGCAAGCTCAGGGAGCCTCTATTTGCAAGGATGCAACTCCCACGACCTAAACCCTGAAAGAAACCCACACGGTGTTGTGGCACATCAAGCCATTCACTCAAGATCACACTTCAGGGCAGGCTCTGCAAAGACAGTGCAAGACACAATAACCCGCATGATGAATACAACTGTAGTGGTCCAGGCTTTTCATGTTGCTGGCAGCGCCAAGTCATTTGCTTGATGGCAGGCCCCCGCCCAGCTGGTTGCCAGCGGCGGGACTGTCTGAACTGGCCGGTGCATTGCACTCCATGCTAAAACACCGCCGGCCCACACAAAACTGGTTCGAGTAGTCGAATTGTGCCTTATCAGATTAAGAATGATTTGCCGTTCAGCCTCGAGCGTCAGCAGAACTAGGCCAAAGCTCACACAGTGATTTCACTGGTGGCCTCGGGCTTTGTGTGCGGCTCTGGCTCGCTGCTATTGGTCTTGCCCTTCTCGAAGCTTTGTGCTGGTCCGCAGAACATCCCACCAGTCTCGGACCAGTAGTAACAAGGGCTCAGAAGAGCCCAAAACATTACATAGCCCGCATGGACCTGGAAAGGCAGCAGGGCATCCTGGATCGGCTTGTAAAAGCAGAAGCCTGCAATCACTGCCCCGAGGTTTCCACCAGCACCCACAAGAGCGGACACCACTGCGAGCTGCTTCCGGTTCCTAGTCGCTTGGGATTGTATTGAAGCTTGACAGTTCTATTCCTTAAGATGTTTAAGGATCCGTAAAACTGTATTGTAAAGTGTTACCCAACCATGACGAAGGTTCATGAACGGCACGATGCCGTAGGAGGTGCCCTCAGCCATCTGCACAAAGAGCGAGAAGCAAACCAAGACTGCCAAGGCCACGTACCAGGGCTGCGAATTGTCCACTTGTCCGAAGCTGAATAGAAAGATAGCTTCGAAAAAAAGTGCCAGGAACTGAGCCCAAATGCGGCCGCGGAAGCCGAAGTACTTGTAGCAAATATCGCTGCTGATGCCACCAAGAGATCTTGCGAAAAGATTCATGAGGCCGAAAGCACCCGCCAGGGCGCTGGCATCACCCGCATCCATCTGGAAGTAGGTCCGAAAATGCGTAGCCAACTGATTGTTCATTGCGAGTTCTGTGCCGAAACATGCTGAATATTGGAAGATCATGACGACGACGCGAACGTCACGCAGCACCTCGACATAGTCCCACATTGAAGGCTTTTGTGTCTTGCCGGTCACGGTGGGATCGTATTTGCGAGCCGTAGGCATATCCCAACACATGAGCTTCATGCAAATGGCGCAAATCACGAACATGACCGCCGGCACCACCATGGAGACACGCCAGGCGACATTTGGCTCCATCCCGGATGCCACCATAGGATTGAAAAGTACCGACATCATAAAGATCTGGGTCACGCCGCCTGGGTCCAGGTTGTTTTTGGTGTTTTTTTTATAGATTTTTTGGTTATTTTTTATGGTTTACGGGGCTGGAATGCTAAAAAACATGCAAGCGTCACAAGAAAGGGCCTGGCTTTGGGTCTTTTTTTTTTTGTAATTTTTATGGTTTTCGGGCTTAGCTTCTATAGAACCTGTACGCGTTACAAGGATGGGCCATATGTACATGCAACATAGTGCACGGCGCTCATGAGACACCCTGTGCACGGCCTCACATTCGCGCACGTCTGCTTTTTTTTGGCAGCTTCGCAGCAACTTACCGGCATCCACGCACGTTCTCATCGGGAACCATGTGCAAACGCACTTGCAAGCGGTAAGCACCCCCCCTTATTTGGTAACTCCGGGTCAGCCTATAGCTTTAAATACACCACCCTTAATTGGCGATACGGTTCAACATACATGATAAACGCGCCCCCTCATTTGGCGATAACGGTTCATGATACGTGTTAAACAACCCCACTCATTTGGCGATTCCGGTTCACCATATATATATATATATATATGAAGCACACCCCTTATTTGGCAATTTCGTTTCACCATATACGTCTTTAACACTCCCTCATTCGGCGAAAACCGTTCACCATATATCTTAGCTTGCGTGGCCCAAACATAAAGCGAGGGGGGTTGGGCCCCTGGGACGGGATTTGAAAAGTCTCAGAATATTCAGACGCTTGACTTGCTGCGACCATCGCAAATGGCCGTAGCGTTCTTGATGGTACGAAGTTCGCTAAAGAAAAACAGGGCTTGAGAAAGCGGGGGGGGGGTCTGGGGGGCGGCGCAGCCCCCCCCATTTCGGGGCTGAAGAAAGCGGCGGGGTTGGGGGGGGGGGCGCAGCCCCAGCCATTTGCAAACGCACTTGCAAGCGGTAAGCACCCCCCCTTGTTTGGTAACTCCGGGTCAGCCTATAGCTTAAACACACCACCCTTAATTGGCGATAACGGTTCAACCTACATGATAAACGCACCCCCTCATTTGGCGATAACGGTTCATGATACGTGTTAAACAACCCCGCTCATTTGGCGATTCCGGTTCACCATATATATATATATATGTATATATGAAGCACACCCCTTATTTGGCGATTTCGCTTGACCATATACGTCTTTAACACTCCCTCATTCGGCGAAAACCGTTCACCATATATCTTAGCTTGCGTGGCCCAAGCATAAAGCGAGGGGGGTTGGGTTGTGGGACGGGATTTGAAAAGTCTCAGAATACTTATGCGCTTGACTTGCTGCGACTTTCGCAAATGGCCATAGTGTTCTTGATGGTACGAAGTTCGCTAAAGAAACACAGAGCTTGAGAAAACGGGGCGAGGGGGGGGTCTGGGGGGCGGCGCAGCCCCTCCCATTTGCAAACGCACTTGCAAGAGGACCGGCGGTTTATCACATCTTAAGCAAGCGCCCTCATTTGTCGATTCCGGTTCACCATAGATTATGCAAAAATGTTAGACACACCCCTTTCCGGTTCACCATATATCTTTAATACGCCCTTCAGTCGGCGATGACCGTTCACCATATATCTTAAACACGGCCCCTCTTTTGGTGATGACGGCTCATCATATCTTCAACACGCTCCCTCATTCGGCGATTCCGGTTCACCAAATACCTTTAACACGCGCCCGCATTCGGCGATAACCGTTCACCAAATATCTTGAACACGCCCCCTTTTTGGGCGGCTCCGTTTCAACATATGTCTTTAACACGCCCCCTCTTTAGGTGATAACGGCTCGTCATCTATCTTAAACACGCCCCCTGTATTCGGCGGTTCCGGTTCATCATATATCTTAAACGCGCCCCCGCCGGTACCCCATGCTCACTGGTTGCAGGTGCAACGCCAGATCAACAGCCCGACTGACTAGAGGATTGACGGACTGACAGACTGATTGACAGACAGCCAGACTGATTGACGGCTCGGTTGGCAGACGGACTGACTGGCTGACCGACTCACCGCTGGACGACCGACTGACTGACTGACTGATTGACTGACCGCGAGGTTGGCAGACGGACTGACTGGCTGACTGACTGACTGGCTGACTGACTGACCGCGCGGTTGGCAGACGGACTGACTGGCTGACTGACTGGCTGGCTGACTGACTGACCGCGCGGTTGGCTGACCGACTGACTGACTGACCGCTCGGTTGGCTGATTGACCGACTGACTGACTGACTGACTGCTCGGTTGGCTCGTTGACTGACTGACTGAGTCCTGCGTCCGCCGAACCGAAAACCGTAAAAAATAACAAAAAAAACCATAACAAATACCCAAAAAGAACCCCCAACCACGCCGCCTCCCAGGTTGCCCCAACCGGCCGCAGTGGCGTTGGCCGTGCCAACAACGCTGGGGGCAAACATGAGCGAGCACCAGAACTGATTGGTCACGAACGTAGCACCAGCACAGCCGATGAAGAAGCGGATCAGCGTATAGTTCTCTCTGTGTTTTGTTGGACGCCAGCATGGGCTCGAAAGCCCGCTAAACGCCCCGGTGCCACCAGCTTACTCAGCCAAGGTCCGTTTGAGAGCCGTGGCATGGCTCTCGTACAGATCGCTGGCCGTCACAAGAACTCCTAAAGCCTTCACTTCCCACTGAAGCGCTTGTTCGCGAAGAGCGTGCCACTGCGGCCGCCGGCACCGGTTGGCCGCTTCCTGACGAGCTGCGTTTGCCGCCCGGTCGGCAACATCGTTCCAATGGCGTAGGGAGCCCTCTGAGGCTCCGCACTGGACCTGAAAATCAGGAGTCTGCTTACCGTGGCTAGGGACCCATTGCAAGCAAAACCTGAGCAACCTATCTGCATCTCTTTTCAGCTGGAAGAGCTCACGAGCTAGAAGCAAGCAGGAAGCCTCACCTGTGTTCACAAGCGAAATTGCCGCCTGGCAGTCAGACACCACGCACAAAGTCTTGCCACGGAATGTCACGCCTTCCGCTACAAGATACTGCACAGCAAGCAAACACGTGCGGATTGCTTCAACTTCTGCCCGAAAGGCCGTCTGGTCTTGGCCCAAGCACTGCCTTGCAACTCTGTGCCCTCCAGCAGGGAGGAAAAGGGCCCACGCCGCGACGTCGTCCTTCTCAGAGCCATCAGTGGCGATGTAAGCTTCGTCGCCCTCTGCAAAGGCTGTTCGCAAGAGCTTCGCCAGCTCCGGAACCGGATCCTCGTGCCTCGTACTGCAATGCCGCAGGTGGGCCTGGAAGCTCAGGCAAGGGGATCGCGAACATGCGCTCCTCGGCGCAGTTCTGAGGAAGCCGAACACCAGCTCGAGCCGCCGAGGTATCCGGGCACTGCCAACAAAGGTGAGGTCTCGAGGGGAACCTAGCACCACACATGCACACAGCTCTTGGATCCATGTCGGTCAAATGAGAGCCTGCAAAAGAATGCCAGACACTACAACCAGTGACAAGCGCCGCGTTGGTTTCAACCTTACGCTCAGCCTTGGCAAAGAGCTTTCTGTGTCCCTGGCAAAGAAAACGGCAACGAGGAGGGCCTCTCGGAAGTTCCAATCCCTGCGCAAGGTTTGGACGGTGATGACGCTTGCGAGCTCCAGTAACTCTAGCAGAGCGGGCAGCAAGGCGGACTCGGCCATGGTCCACGATCCAGCTGCGGAGGACGTTGACAGAGTCAAACCCGACCACGAAGGTTCGCACCAGGCCGCTGTCATCTCGTCTAGAGATGCTCTTGCCGTCCGGAGACGCCCACCATCCCAGGTCAGTAAGACACTGCTGTGCTCCAGGAAAAAGCTTTGGCCATCGCAAGAGCGTGAAGTCGAGGCCCACAGTCTCCAACCACCGAGGCTCACGAGCATGGTAGCGGATGGCGGCGGCAAAGGTTCTCAAGAAGCACTGTATCCAGGGATCGCAGTCCCAACCAAGTAGTTACAGTTCCAAGCCCACGAGCAGAGGAGTGTCCACACACCAGACACGTGCAAAGACAGAGACAAACTCAGAACGAAGCTTCTGCAGGAACTCCGCGTCGTAGGTGACAAGGCCAGCTGCCCACAAGAACACCGGCTGGACCAGGACTCTGAACAACTTGGCACGCTGCTCGAGGTCACACGGCAGCAAAGCAACGTTCCGACACCGCAGTCTGACCTCCTCCAGAACCTGTGGACCAAGGCGCACGACTCCTTCACGAAGCGCGTGGACTAGGCCTAAGCACCGCAACTCATCAGAGGTCACCTTGTAGCCAGTAGCCCGCGGCAGCACAGTGAGCGTGTCAACAGCCGCAGCCGCCAACTGACACTTCTCAGGGCGGCAAGAAAAGGCACAGGCCTCATCGAACTCATTGCTTCTGGTATAGGCACTCAAAAGGGCGTGCTCAACATCCAGGGTGCTCTTGCCTCTGCCCTTTGCCCAGATGGTTCTGTCATCCACAAAGGACGTCACTTTGACACTGGAGCTGGAAACGTGGTTTCCCCACACCTTCAAGAAAGTAGCAGCAACCAACGGGCTAAGCGGACATCCCTGCAGCAGTCCTCTGGAGACCTGCTGAAAGTGCGAACTAAGCATGCCAGCATGCGCGAAAACTCTGGTGCCTTGCGTATAGAAGTTTCGGAGCAATCGAACAAGCTGGGGTGGCGCTCGCAACCAGCAGAGATTCTCTTCCATCAATCGCCAATCGACAGTGTCGAAGAACCTATGAAGATCCTGGGCGATGTACGTGGCATCCTCGGAGTCAGCGTGGAGCAACAAGTGAGCGTCGAGGACTCCGCTGCCGAAGACCCCTCCCAACGTGTGGTGGTCCAGCCACGTCAGCAGCCACGGGCGAAGCTGTTGCACCAGGGAGCGGGTGCCGAGGCGCCACAGAACCGACGTGACCGTCAACGGTCTGAGGTCTCCCGAAGGTTTCGGGATCAAGCACACCCTACTTTCAAGCCACCTCGAAGGGATGCGGCCTGTGCTGAACACGAGCCTCCACAGTGAGGCCACGCCGTGCCAGAACTCAATGGGCAATTGCGTGAGCTGGTCAGGGAGCCAGCTGTCCGGCCCCCCTGCTTTGCCCGCAGCCTGCTTCGCGAGCTGTAGCAAAGTAGGACCATCAAAGACGGCCTGGAAGTCAAGTGGAGGTGGACGCTCAACTTGCTCGAGCATCCGACGGTAGCTGTTGGGATGGACCTCACCAGCAGTCCAAACTTTGGTCCACTCACCTTCCGCCTGCTGCAACACCCGAGCAGGGTGTGAGGAACGAAAGGAAACACCCGGCTTGATGGTCTCGGTCTGGTGTCTGCAGTACTCCTTGAAGTCCTGAGTCCTACCTTTCACCCATCGGCGGCGCTCCTTCTCAGAGCTTCTCATCCTATCCCTCCACGTGTTAAGGCACTGCTGTTGCTCACTGCTGGCACGGTGCTCAACAAGGTTGTGGAGCAGGTCACAGAAGGCTGTAGCGGTGACGTCAGGGGCATCTTTAAGCTCCCCGAACTTGGACTGAAGCTGTCTCACATCACGACGAAGATGACGAAGAAGATCAACTGAAGGTTGCCGCTGATACTGAAGAGCTCGACGAAGAAGGCGGCGCAGCCTTCGTAGAGCCACGGTTTCAGGCGAAGCCATGTCGCGATGCCCGGCGTGTGCACGACGAGGCCTCCAACTCTGCGACCGCAAAGTGCCACCAGCCAGGTCGTTGCCATCAGTGCCGGACAAAACCCCCTCCGCGGTATCGGAGAGTAGGCTCCAAGCCAAATCAACGTCGCACGCATCAAGAGCTTGTGCAAAGGAGGGCGCTTGCCAAAGACGGGCCCAACGGGCGTGGAGTTCCGCCTCAGTAGCCTCACCCACTCTGTTGAGGACCAATCGCTTTGGGGCAAAGTGTCCTTGCAGCGCAAGGCCCGCCTCAATAGCCTACAAGCTTATGATCCGCAACTCCTTCTCTATGAAACACTTCTGTGGCATGGATGCGGTGCGCGAGTCCAAAGTCTATGCGGCGACTTCCAGGATGGCGAGTTGGCGGGAGCGGAGGACTCACCTGGAACGGCTCATCCAAAGAAGTGGCCAACCCCTCCGCAAAAAGGCTCGAAAGTCCTGTCGCCTCCAAATTCCAGTCCCCTAGGGCTATCCAGGGTCTGCCAAAAACATGCAAGGCTTCCGTGACCTCCTTTGCAAAAGCGCGCGCTCTAGGAGGATCATCAGAAAAGCCGTAACACGCAGCTAATAAAATGGGCTGGTCTGTAGCAATCGCCGTGGCGACACACCTGTGCTTCTCTCCAATGTCGAGCTGTACGGTCTTTAAGGCGACTTTGGAGAGCAACGCCACGCGATGGATGCCATTCACCGGCTCCGCAAGACGCACCTGAAAGCGACGCGCCTTCCAAAACTTAACAAAAGCTGGGGCGGATGTGACATGCAGATCCACCTCCTGCAAGGCAATCAGATCGAGGTCCGATGCCAAGGAGAAAATCTCCTGTCTCTTCATGTGGCCCGAACGGCCAACATTCAAGGTAGCACACCGGAGAGTGTGGCAGCGCGGAGAGGAGCCAGTGCTCACGAAGACCCTGAAGAAGCCCCGCGCAACACCCTCCGTGCCTCCGCAAAGATTCTGTCAAGATCCTCTTGCGGGACGCCATGGTCCTGATGCTTGGCACACCACTGCTCAGTCTGTCTCAAGACCTTCTCAAGTGATGTTGGAAATCAGAGGCACGTCTGGTGCGAGCGCACTTGTGGTCAGGCGCTCTACTCAGGCCCTCTCCCAAGACTCTGCATCCTGTGCAAAGCCAATGGCGCGTGAGTACCAACTTGCTCTTCTTGGTCGTTCTAGTTTGCCTCACAACCGGCATCAACACAAGTGTTAGGCCAAGCTTTGTCAACTCAGGGAGGTTGGCCGCAGCTGAAGCATTCAGATTTTCAATGCGCTTGGTGTGTCGCATGGCCGGGGTGGCCCTGTATGCATTGATCTGCTGGATCCTGTAAGCTTTCGCAGAGACTCTGGGATGCATAGCCTCGCGATGCTGTTTGGTGGCTTTGGAGAGGGTCTTAGGTGAGTAAGTAACACCTTTGTCCCGGACTCCAGCGTTGCAACCCACAATGGGGCACTTCCAAAGCAAACTTGCATCCTCGGGCGACACATCTTCTAAGGGAGGAGTCTTGGAATGATTTCCAATCTTCGGCATACCAGGGTGCCATCGCCTCAGGTGGTTCTGACGAGTGTGGGACACCTTCAATGGCGTGGTGTCCGCAATCTCCGCATCACAATGCGGACACGGCGCAATCCAGTAGCCCATCTTTCGGATGAACGACGTGCCCCGCCTGAAGTAGTGCTGTTTCGGCGGAGGCGGAACTACATCCCCATCAAGAGGGGTACTAACCCCAACAACCTTAAACGAGGACCTAGACCCACAACTACCAGGGCCCTGCGGGGGACCGGCCGTACCGCAGGGGGCGTTAGGGGCATCACGGCCACCATGCTCGGAGGCATCCGGCTCTACAGGCGCGCGCCTTATGAAACCACCCTTGCCGTCGCCACAGTGGGCCGCTAAAGACATCCAGCACTGAGTCTTAACTCTGAGGCGTCTGCGTGTAGCCGTCAGCGCCGTCAGATGGCGCACTTCGGCCGTCGAATCCCAAGCGCCGGCCCTCGAACCCGCATCACTCGCTTGAGAAGCCGGCAGCGATGCAAAATCACGCAATCTCAGACTCTCATCCTGTCGCTTGCTAGTATCTGGACGCGCAGGGGATGCAAAGTCCCTAAGGCGGACACTGCTCTTGGACAAAGTCCCGCTCGGGGGTACCTTAGCAAAAGGCTGTTTGATGACTGTCTTTCGGGAGCTGCACGGCTTGGAAGAGCCCGCCGATGCAAAATCCGCCAACTTTAATGAACAGGAAGCATTGGATTGGGCACTCTTGCCTCCTCCAACGAACCGCGTGCCCTCATGAGGGGTGGCCCAGAACTTGAGCTCATCCTCAACGTCGCCCTCGATCCACTCGTAGTGTCCGACCTGTTCATCAGAGTAAAGGCAAATTGGCCTGTGTTCGCCCACATGGCAAAAGGACTTGACCTCGCCCTTAGAGTTGAGGACATAGAAATCCCGCCTCAGTGCGTGAGCCAACGCCGTCAGCTCCATGTAACAGCACCACGTGCCGCAGAGTTTGATGCCGGCGACATAGTCCTTGAACGACCCTGTCCAATCACCAGACGCTGTTTTGTCCTTAGCCCCTGGTTTGATGCCATCCCAAATGCCCCCGTACTCCTCCATATGTCTCTGGTACCAAGTGGCCACAAAGGCTCGGACGGATCTGCCCGAGGCCTTTTCCTCGGGAGCGTAGCGCTTTAGCGCATCCGCGACGGCTAACATCATGCAGTCGCCCTTCCCCTCGTTGGGGATGCGCTTGCCTCCATCAGGCAGCCATGGGCCCTTAGCCTTCTGAAGTTGTGGGCGAACCTGCGCCTTGGCCTCTGGTGTCGTCGTTTTGGCACGCTTGGCCTGTGCATCCTCCTCCTCGGTCTTGGCGTCCATTTCCTGATCACCTGTCGTAGCCGTCTGGGGAGGCTCCGGCATGGAGCGCTTGTCACGACGCACAGAAGAATCAGTCCGAAAGGAAATGGCGATTTCCCCTGGCAACGCTCTCGAGTTGTTGCTGTACTTCCGGCGCCGTGCCTCTTTGATGAGATCGATGGCGTGGACCGTACCTGTGGCATCTTGCAAACTGGGCTGGAACAACTCAGCATCGGTGGGCGGCACGGCCCGAACGATCCAGTCCGTAGTCCGATTGCGGTTCAACTTCTGGTGGACCTCGGCGTGACGAAAGCCTACTGACTCGAAGACTTCCACCACCATGTCCCCATGCCACTCGCGTGGCACTTTGGATGCCCTCCATGTACTAGGCTTGTCCTTGAGTCTGGAATCTCCCCTTGCGACCCTAGAGCCAAGTTGGCTCCTGCCGAGTACAACTCCATGCTCAGAGAGACGAGCGACACGACTGGCGAAGGTTTGCCAATCCTCTCGGTCCTCCCAGTTGTACCATAGCACGCCCTGCTCAAGACGCGGCAGTTCACCGTACAACGGCTCAACAAACCACCGCTTTCCACTCCCACATGACTTGCCACTGGCTCGGAGGAGCTTCATGGCTGCATCGACAGAGCGCACACGCAACAGGCCTCGAAGTTGGGCATACCTCGAGTGGCCATCCCTAAGCTCAAAGCCGAATGTGTCGCCAAGCTGGGTCATAGTAGTCTCATGTTGCCCAGCCCACGCTCTAGCTGCAGAACCCGGTTGCGCAGTCATGCGCTTCCAATCTTCTGTGGAAATGTTCTGATACGCCCACGGACAAATCAGTCTCACAACCCAGCCTTGTCGTCGAGCAGGACCGGTGGCATCCTTAGGAGGAGGCCTGAAAACCTTGACAGAAGGAGCTTGCACCTGCTTCACCGACTGCAAAGTCGGGGAACCTTCAACAAAGGAAGTTGCCAAGCATGTTCGGACTTGAATTGCACGCTGCAAAGTGCCCGGAACTCTCAATGCCTTCGGTTTGGGAATCTCTTCAGGCCAATGCTGTCCCGTTGGGAAGATCAGCGTGACCATGGGATTCCGTTCACCCTCAGCTAAGGCAGTGCATGCCTCGTAGTCGCTATAATCCCTGGTGAGCACGACGAACGCTTCATCCTTGAAGTCGTCGAGGGCTTTGGAGAACTCGATTTGCCCACAAACTACGTGCACCTCCTGGGTCTGGGAGCTTTCCCAATCGGCCTGGCGCGGCCGCCACTGCACGTGATTCCAGCCGTCGTTGGCATCGTTGTCTCGCCGCTGTTTGGCACGCCGCGCGTCCCATCTGGATGGAGCACTCTGAGGGTCCAGCGGGCTCTCGCCATGGGTATTGCCATGAGCATGCCACCTGTTCCAAGACGAACCCTGGTTCCGGTAATCGGCGTCCTGCTGGTCACCTGGCCAAGGTCTGTATTGCACCGTGCGCTGCGATGCCCTCTCCTTGTCGATGAAACTCTGAAGCCCTTGAAGAAAATCGAAGCCCGGCTGGCGACGAGCTCTTGCAATAAGCTTCTCCACTCCCGAGATGAGTCGCTCTTCCGATTCATCTTGCTGCTCTGCAGACTGCTTGTAGCTAGCCAGGAAGCCCTGAAGACCATCAAGGAAACCCGAGCCGAGCCACCCCCAACCATGCGATCATGAACAGTTCGCTTTGCAGAGGCCATGCCCACATGTCCTCCTCCGCCAAGCTCACCGCGCAACAGCCTTGGAAGCCTCAGCAAAAGGCAACGAAGCCGCCAAGAGCCTCGGCTCAGCCTGCGACGCATCGTCTTGCTGACAGCTGTACGCCGGCCTGCCCTGACAACAGCCGCAAAGGGCACAAGTGCAAGCCAGCTCACGAACACAACGAGTGCGCAATACCTTCATCGGTGCCGGCTTCATCGAACCAGCACTCGAGAGGCAATTCTTGACTCTAGCTCTTCGGAGGCGCGAGCTCAAACCCCAAGCCCCTCGCCTCGATTTCATGACGGTATTGTGGCAGCTGCGAGAAACAGGTCCCATGACCCGAGCTGCCCACTCAGATCTCAAGTGCAGGCCGGTTCCGACTAACGCACAGAACCCCGGCACTAAGAAAACCCAACGGAAATCCCCGAAGAGGAAAAGCAATGACTGAAGGCCAGGATCCCACACCATAGCCTCCTGCTCCATGTCGGCCTCGCTGTGAGGGCCACCTGAGTCATTCATAAGGTTGTACGTTGCATAAGCACCCACGATGAAGGAGAGGAGAGCCTGCCAACCCAAGCAGCCACTCTCACCCTTGACGTAGTTCTGGAAGGTTTGGCGCCGGCTTCGGGTAAAGCCGGTTCGGGCGCGCCGCTTGAAGGCAGCTTCTCGCGCCCTCAGCGTATAGTTCCATGGAGCCGAAATCGCGGCCGCCATTGCCACCCAAAAAGCGCCGAAGGACAATAAGCCGCACTATATATAGGTTGCTGCCCCAACCTGTCACAGGGTTAGGAGCAGTGGTACGCCCCCTGGTGGGGGCGAAAACAAGACAGTTGAATGCAGGCGTGAGCAAGCATGCACGAACACGAGAACTAGCCAGCTTCTTCAGCTGCCCAAGCTGCGGCTTCAACACCTCGCACATTCCAAGTGGATCTGTGACGGCGTTGCTTAACTTCAGCGCAACGAGTGTTGCCAAGCATGAGCAGTCGGGCAGCAACATGAGCATCGCTTTCATCTGTGGGGAAAGACCATCCCAGACGACGAGCAAGAGCCGATCGTGGAGGCGGCTGGCATCTGAACTCATTGAAGAAAGGGCATTGCCAAAACACGTGCTCTACGGAAGGAGTAACATGGGAAGAGCAAATAGCGCAGTGGTCACGCTGTGGACCGGCCGGGCACCAACGAGCATCAGTGCTGAGGCCGCCAATCATGGTAGAGAGGGCATGACCGTCAACCTTGGCCGCGAGACGACGAAGGTAGGCAACCAGTGCCGGGGAGGCCCTGACGCGACATGAGCGCGCAAGGCGCGAGTCAATGCGGGCGGGATGACCGAGCCATTCTTTGACGCGAGAAAGGCGCCATGCCTCACGAAGCTGATGCGCAGAACGGTTTTGCAAGGCAGGAGTGCTGCGCAGGTTCCAGGTGCAGTTACCACGCCCCCACTCGGCCCACGAGCGGCGTTTGGGAGTCCACCCCCAGGCAGACATACAAGAGTTTAGACCTTGGGCAAGGGCAGAATCTTTAACGTTGAAAACAAGCGGGTTGCGGCCTTGGGCCACAAGGAGCGCGGACCATCGACCCATGGCTTTCAGAAGCCTTTGACAGGCGAGGAAGGCCAAGTCCGAGTGATGGCCAAGGAGCAAGAGCTGCTGCAAGTCACGAGAACTGCGATCAAACTTTTGCGCACAACCCTTGACAGCCAGGCGGAAGGCATTTCTGTACGTGTAAGCCGCACTGAACGTTCACTGGGCCGAAGCGCTCCAGCAGCGTCCCCAAGGCTATCCTCACGAAGATAGTCGAGGCAACCGATGCTATGATGATGATGTAGACAATGCCATGACCCCACCCACATGCCGAAGCACGAGAGCAAGACAGGCAGGAAGGCGGCGCAACCTTAGCTGCGCCGAACAGGGACCTTAGTCATCAGCTTCTTCCTCGGCACCAGGGGTTCCTGGTCCAAGAAGTTTTAAGCTTGACACAAATGACTTAGCGCATCCGCATCCCCCCAACCCAACCTAGCAGCCAGGATACTACAGGGTTTCCTACAGGGAGGCGGGTTCCCCGGACAGGACCAGCAGAGATGACCGCAGTGACCAACAAGAGCACTGCGCCACGGACACTTGCGATCCTCAGGACAGTTCGCCTTTCGTGCGACCGAATACGCGGCTCCAGACAGCACCGAAAAATGATTACGCGACTTGAGAGCGAAGCCACGAGCCAATTTACAAGCCTGCTCACTGTAGGGGACCAACCTGCAGAGGAAGCTGTCACGCCTAGACCTGGATTGCCACAAGGAAAAGAGGCGTCGTCTCCAGCTCTCACGAAGAACATGGGCAAAGCCGTCCCTAGAAGAAGGAAAGTTGCTATGCCTTGCATCGAGCGATCAGACTGCCACTGCCAGTTGGAAGGACCAGGCTCGAAGCCAAGCCTACTCATGCTCTTACGGATCACACGCGCCCACTGACTTCTCCAGGCAGGAAGCGCAAGGCCGCTCAACACGCAACGACGAAGAGCCATGACCTGATCAAACGCAGAGCGGAAGACCAAGGAACAATTGTGCCCAAGCCGGATCTTACGCAAGCTGGGATCACTCTGCCTAGCAGCACGACAAGAGCAAGCAAGAGCCCAATCAACGCTGTTGGCTTCTTTCAAGGTAGGAAGCCTGCAGACCCAACCATAACTGGCCTTGCTCATGGCACTCATGCCAGCAACAAGCGCCTTCACCGCGAACGAAACCGTCCACCTGGCGGCCTGCAGTCGCTGGGTGTCGGCGCCCTTGGACTTTTGGCCTGACGCAGGCTTGAGCATCACACCAAGAATCTTAGGAGAGTCAGTGACTTTGCGGGGATCCGCCCCATTTTCGATCAGCTTCCTCCGTCCAGCACGAGAAATCTGATAAAACTGGTCCTTGTCACCATTCTCAGTCAAGCCGAGACGCGCGCTCCAGCCGCGCCAACGCTGAGCAACACGAAGGCACTCCACAGCAGTGTCCGTGACCCAACTTCTATCGTCGACATAAAGAGAGACAACCACGCCAGGATGCGAGCTTTTAATGTCAACAAGCGGCGCAACGAGCATGCAAACCATCGCCAGCATGCTCCAGGGGTCCCCTTGGGGGATGCTGGTGGAGACCAGGGCCGGATTGGGACAAACAGCATCAAACAACTGTAAGTAGCGGCGCTGACCACACCAGACACTCATCACCATGTTCAGTGGTCCAGCGGGCATGCCAAAGTGTTTCCACAACCGTTCAACAAGCCGGGGCCGAACGCAGTCAAAAGCAAGCGAGTAGTCGAACGTGCCCAGATAGGCACCCTTGTGGATGCCATCCAAAAGGGACGCAACAGCATCATAGGTACCAACTCCACGTCGGCCGCCATACGCTTCGGGGGGTACCCAAGTGCGGGTCCAGTTCTGAACGCAGTCAGACTTCAGCCGCGCACTAGCCCAAGTACGCCAGAAGCAACTTAAGACCGCGATGGGACGATGATTGGCAGCCGGAGTGGCCTGATCCGACTCACGCTTCGGTTTCCCATCCTTAGGAAGATGGATCTGACGAAGGTTCTTCCAACTCGACGGAGTGATCCCAACACATTCACACCTGTTGAAGAATGAAACCAGGCAGGCCCACACGTCAGGGTGAATACAAGCCAACTCGCTGCCAGACCACCCATCAGGGCCGGGGCTGGTCCCAGCCTGACTTTGGGCAGCTTTGTGCAGCTCGGTTCCTTGCAAGGGACACCACTCAGCAGTCTCACGCGACGGCCCAAGCACCCGAGCACAAGAAGCAAACTGATCATCCAAGTTGGGCAGCGGGCGATTCCACACCCTTTCCCAATACTGTTTCAAGCGGTCAATGGCGTCAGACAAGGAGTCACTAGCCGTCTCATCACCAAGGCAAACCATGTGGGTGTAAGTGGCGGACGCACCCCTCACCCACTTGAAGCAAGCAGACACAGATCCACGCAGACGGTCTCGCCACCTGGCAAGCTGACCCTGCTTGAGTTCAACCTCAGCTTTTCTGATGTCCTCAGTAACGCGAAGGACCTGAGCAGTGAGGCCAAGACCAGACGGGAGGTAAGGGCATCTCTGGATTTTACGCTTGAGGTTACGCGCTTCCTCACAGGAGCTCGTGCCAGCAACGTTGTGGTCGTGCAGCGACAAGAGGCGAGCAAGCAGGTTACGCAAGCAACGAATCCTGTTGGTAACATGGCATCCCTCAACATGCTTGGCAACAGCACAAGAGCGAATGACGCGGGGAGTCTGGGGCTTGCAGCGTCCACCACGACTGCGACTGCAACTTTCCTCACAAGGACGAGCTGAGGCGCGGGCGTTCTTAAAAGCAAGTTCCAACTTGTCAACAGCAAGCTTCCACCACTCATCGCAGCCTTCCTGAGTCGCGAAGCTTGGTTCTGGCAACGGTGGACCTTTGTTCCACTCATCGCGAATGGCCGACGACCAAGCATCTTTGGACCAACCAACCGGCTTGGGATAGGAAGCAGCAGGAGCAAGGGACCAGTTCACCACATCTGCACCAGTGGAAGCACTCAGCGAACCAACAAGGAGCTTGTGGTCGTTGTACTTGCTCATGCCAAACTGCAAGCGGGAAACAGCGCACGCGCAGTGACCAACGAGATAATCAATGCTACGATTGCCGCGCCACCGGGTAGGCAAAGCGACACCATCAGGAGAACAGACCTGCAACACTCCGCCATGATACCTTTGCAAGGCGGCCACAAGCGGGTTTTCGCGAGGTTCAAGATTATAGTCGCCCATCACCACCCATCTGGTAGCAGAGCCAGCAGCAGCGATGTGCGCCGTCAACTCAGCAAGAAACGCATCAACATGCTCGTTTTGCGCAGCATAGCACGACACAAGAGGAGGCCAGCAGCCCAGACCAAAACAGCCTGACCCCCAGCGTGACTAATGTAGGCATGAGCTCTGCTTTTCACACGGGTGCTCACGAGCATAGCCGCGCCGGCCCATTGACGTTCTTCGTTCCAGCGTCCTCGCCCGACGTTGCCAGCTTGAGTGTAGGCAGCGAAGCCATGCTCACGAGACTTCTTGTGAAAGGCGGTGAGCTCAGCAGGCCCCATAAGCTGCTCCTGCATAGCCAAAACGTCAACACGATCTTTCGCGGCATCACGCAGAGCATTCCAAGCGCAACACGGGCCACCAGTGTTAAGACACCACACAGCAAGACTACTCGGCCCAGGGTTAGAGGCCTGACCAGGCAGCTTATTGCCCGCCTGCGTCTTGACAGAAGGCAAATGACAGGTCTTGGCACGTTTGCTGGCAGCAGCAATTACCCTGAAGGCCCAACCGCGCGTCGACTTCCTCAGCCGTCAGGTTCCAAGCTTGCAGCAGACGGGTTCTGTTTCTTTTAGTCTTCTTGATGCGGAGCCACCTGGCACGCATGTTAGCAGTCCCCTTGACATCTTCGCCACGACAACGATCGTCCCAGCCAGCATTGGAAACCCGAAGACACTGACGGCAGGTGAGCAACCTACCTCTAGGGTGTGACTTGGTGGGTTTCTCATGAGGCCAGGTTTGCCAATCGGGTTCAAACCAAACGATATCATGACCAGCCTTGGCAGCCTGAGAATGACAAGCACTTTGACCCATTTCGCTGTCAACAAGACTTTGCGTAGTGCCCCAAACGGCCAAGATGGAACGCAAGTTCGTAGGCGAGCTGCACAGTCTTTTCCACAAAGCTCTTTGCGGGCCAGTCCTCGGCCCATGCAAGCCAACACACGGAGAGTCCCAACCTTTATGCGTCCCAATCTTATGACAAAGACAGCACGTAACAAGAGTACCCCGTCTTTTGTTGGCCTTTTTCTTTCTGGCAGGCCAGGTAGCCCAATCAGGTTGCCAAATCACCAACTGATGCCCAGAGCCTTTGGGGGCCAGACCTTCAGCATCCTTTCGTCTGAGAGCTTTAGACAACTGCTCTTTGCCATTCTTAATGGCAGGTTGAGATTCAGGGTTTCTTCGATACTGCTCAGCCCTAGCTTTATGAACAGCTTTCAAGGAAGTGTCCCTTTTAGCATGCTTTTTGGCATAGTGCTCCTTCACAGCAGCCTTGATTGCATACGGAGTAATTCCATGGGGCAAACCACCATCGCAAAAGGGGCACGACCAGGCCCTATGGCCCCCGATTGAGTTCAATCGGGGCCGATTGAATTGAATCGGGCGCCGGATTGAAGATTGAAGATTGAAGATTCCCTCAAAAACTTTGCCGGGGAATCTTCAATCTTCAATCCGGCCCCCGATTGAGTTCAATCGGGGCCGATTGAGTTGAATCAGGGCCGCTTGACTGCAATCCCGCTTCGTCCCAAGTGGGCAGGGTTTCAGGTTCAGGGTTGAGGAATTTGAATTTTATGTGCCGAACGTGTTTACCAGGATCTCGAGTGCTGCGTGTTGGTGAGCGGTTTTTCAAAATGATGGAGAGCGTTCATTTTTTGGTCTGTGAATATTGGTGATAAACCAACGGGTATTCAACAGGATTCATAAAGGTATAAAAGGTTTCTATAATCTATGGGTATCTATACGAAATTTTTAAGATGTAAAGAAGGAGTATCGTGTAAGGTGTTCTATATGCTCTTGTTTTTGATTTCTTAGGTACAGCGCAGAGCATTCTGCTCCTGATTATCCTGCCATTAATCCGTTATCTATAAAGTATTCTACAAGGCATTCGATGGTGCATTCTACGGGTATGTTATAGAATATCCGTTAGGTTTTCGTTAGGACTTCCTATGGGGTACTCAGAGGGTATCATAGATATTGTGTATTCTGTAAGCTAGTCGGTAGGGGATTGCAGATGATATCGTACAAAGCCTATAAAAGGCCAAGTATGTAACGTTGTTTTGGGCTATCTATCGGGTACTCCATAA